TCTGTATAGGAATAGGGGTATTCCATCATAAAGTTTAGTTGCTAAGGCCTAGTATTAAAGCCAACAAAAAGTGGCCAAAAAAAGGTTTATTAGTCTAATTTGGCCACAAAGACTAAAGGGGGATTCCCTAAACTGTTAAATTGCTGAATTGTTGAAAATTCAACAAAAAATTTCAGCAATTAAGGGAACGACCCTAAATGGTCCCTGTTGAATTTTCAAACAGCTGTTATTTGTTGAAAAGTTTCACGGAACTTAAAGCATGTAAAATTTGATTTATTATTGCTAGTTACTGTCTAAAAGTGTTACCAAGGTAAAAATGATTTTAAAATAAAAAATGCGTACTGGTGATACTAAAATGTTACAGAGTTGCTACGACTTTTAAAAAAAGGTGACAACTCTCGCTTTTCAGCAATTCAACAAAATTTTCAACAGCCCCGAGGCTGATGAATTGCTGAAATTTCTGAAAGTTGACTTTGTATGGAACAGCTGATTAACAGCTGACCAAAATTCAACAATTCAGCAATTCAACAGTTTAGGGAATCCCCCTTAAAACTCAAATTTTAACTTTTATTTTACAAGCGAAATGAATCTTTTTGAAATGGTTTGTATAATGTAAATGGTTGATTACTAGGCCTTGAGTTAAATTAAATTTTTTAAATTTGTTTCGGTATACTTCAGTACAAAGTATTTTTTATTTAATTATTTTTAAGTTTCGTAATATAGCAAGGCGAACTGTACTATGCTTTCAAAGCTTTATGCCCATGTTTCTGGTCTGTTCTGTAGATATCGTGGTCCCCGCCTGGAGTGACTTGCCCCTTTTGCGTGCTTCTTTTGGGGTTGCAAAGTTTTTGGCATTCCGGGAGTTGTCGTAGCACAGAAATTAAAAATAATTGCAAAAAGTCGGCGAGTGGGTGGAATTCTCCGGTTCTTTGGTTCTGGTTCTCGGTCCTCTGTCTGTCTGGAGTTGCAACCCCTTGGGCAACAAAATGAAAGCAAACTTCAGACTCTTCGACTTGGGGTGTGGAAAACGAGTGGAATCAAAGGAGTACGCGGTGGAAAAGGCGGAAAAGGAGAAGGAGGACAAGCGGTTTCCTAGACACTCGATGGGCTACATTTTGTTTGGTAAGGTCGGTCCAAGGCAGAGATACTTCCTTCATGAGCTTCGATTTTAGCCAACTCCGGGGGTTGCACTCTAATGGACTTGGCTTCCTTTGTCTTTCAGGCCGTGGGGGAAGTTTTAAGGGAATTGTAACTTGTAACCTTGATTATCTTATTTGTTAAGAAAAGCCAGGAAGAACTGATCATACTTGGTTCGGATATATTTACTAATAATATATTAAAATCTCTGTCAACTGCAGTCTAACCAAATTTTGGTTCAAGCTCGTTTAGAACTTCAATCTACAATTTCAATACAAATACCCTTTTAATGTTGCAAAAAACAATATGAGGTTTGATATTTTTTTGATTTTGGGTAAACAAATATTTTCATTATATGAACTGAATCCTTTTTAACCTTGACGAAACGCCTGGCAGACCTTTTGCAATTTTTGAGACGAATCTTCCCCATTGAGGACCTCCAAAATGCAACGAGGGCATCGCATTGAGACACTGGCCCTGGCAACCCCAACATAATAGTGGCCAAATATCATGGTCAATGACAGCGTCGTGAAATTTGCAACTGGCGACACGTGGCAGGGGCAACCAGACACCACCCTTAGGTCCTTTGGAGGGGGTGCCACCTTCCACCCAACCCGCATCTGAATCTGAGTCCAGCTAAATATCTCTTTCTCTCTCTCTCTCTGCAAAGAGCGGAGGTGCAACAGCGCATGTTTGGGAGCTGCAGCGTTGCAGTTGCCACACGGCTGCACGAAGGTTAAAAGAGTTTTCAGGGGCACTACGGGACTTACAACTGCTTCACCCGGCGAGGACCAAGGACCAAGGGCAAGGACACGCAGGCATGCGCATTTCCGCATCCGCTGTCGGGTCCTTGGCTCCGATTCGGTTTCGTATTCGGATCCTTGGCGAGAAGTGCCTCATTGCCAAGGTCCTAAGCGTGGGGAAGCCAGTGTTGACAGCTATAAAGTACAAAAAGTAGCTTTTAAGTTATTTACTACTCTTACGAATGAAAAAAATTTTTATAATGATTTTATTCTATATATTCGTTTTCTGACAGAACTTTACTGTTATCGTTCTCGCATAGATCACAATTAACATTAATTTTATAGTTAAATAACAAATATTTTTTATTAAAATTAACAAACCGTTTTTTGTCACTATTTCTATTAAAATATTTAATTGTCCTTAACGATATAAATAAACATTATTATTTAGATATTTCCAAGCTTAGGGTCTCTTAAAAGTTTGATCTATTTTTATAAGGAAAACTATGTTTTGTCTATTTTAATTTTTTAGCAAGATAGCTGACATGTCTGCCGTAGGAAGTGCCTGCTGTCCCTCAGATTTCATTCCATGATGCAGCCGCCAAACTCCTGCAAATGACATTGAGTGGGTGGCAGACAGTGGAAGAAAAAATATAGGGAGTGCGAGGGGAGCAGATTAATTTCAGGGCTGCCCATTGCAGTTGTTTTGCATTTCCTTGGCCAATTGTTAACTAAATTCACCCGATGCAGTGCAAGGATATATGCCACACACGTGTCACCCACACTCATTCACGCGAGCACTGAAATTCGACATTGCCCCGATGGCCATTAAAAGGTCAGCACACAGAAGTCCTTGCCCAGATTTGGATAAGAATATCAAAACAGCTGAATTATAGAAGTCGTTCACTGGAATATTTTTAAAATTTAAATTATTTTGCAAAATATTAAGAAAATGTAATGTCCGAATGTTCAAATCATACTTTATTTATCTGGTTAAACAAACTTACGAAGCCTATTTTAGAAGCCCCTATTAATATTTTTTTGATAATAAGTAATATTTTAAAACTTTTTAAGGGATATTCGGATATTTTCATATCATTTACAATATTAAAAAAAAAAAGCCCTTCCCCTCACCTAAGTAAATAAAAGTGTTATAAAAATCAGACATCAGTAAAAAAAAATCAATTGTCTACACCGATTAGCAAATGTACACCAAAACGAACCAAATTTCAATATCAGACGCAAGTCAATTATTGGGTCAATGTGCGTGCAGTGAACTGATTTGGCCAAAAAGCCAAGTCAAAGCGTAAAGTGGCTGAAAGTGTGCTATAAGTCAGTCGCCTCCAGAGAGTTCATTGAGACTAATTTTCATCGGGACCCGAAAAGCAGGGGACAGGCGTTCCAGAGGGTGTGTATTTTGCCTTATTTATGGCGGAGGAGCAGCCATCGGGTCGATGACTCAGTGGGAATATTCGGGTTCCCACTCGGATGGCATTTGCCATCCAAAAGTTTATCCTCTTGCCCTGCGTAAGGCTTATCCTGATGGCACCACTTGTTTCTAAACATGAAGAGGATATGATGTTTGGACTTGAATTTTAAAACTAGTTTTTATTCAGTTTTTATTAAAAAAAAGTACCGTATATTATTTATTAAGTTTTAAAGGTTATACATAATATTTTAGGGAATTTACTTGAGTTATTATACCCGTTACTCGTAGAGTAAAAGGGTATATTAGATTCGTGCAAAAGTATGTAACAGGTAGAAGGAAGCGTTTCCGACCCTATAAACTATATATATTCTTGTTTGGGATCACTAGCCGAGTCGATCTAGCCATGTCCGTCTGTCCGTCTGTCTGTCCGTCTATCTGTCCGTCTGTCTGTCTGTCTGTCTGTCTGTATGAACGCTGAGATCTCGGAAACTATAAAAGCTAGAAGATTGACATTTTGCATGCAGATTCTAGGAGTTCCTACGCAGCGCAAGTTTGTTTCAAAAGGGTGCCACGCCCCCTCTAACGCCCACAATCGCTTATATACGATTTTAAAAATTTCAATATTTTTGAAAAGTAAAAATGCAGTTTTATTGTGTTTATCAATACCTATCGAAATGTAGAAGAAATTTTTTAAATCGGACCATTCGTTAAAAAGTTACGGCGGATCAAAATTTTTCTCCATCTCTTTCGCACTCCCTTTAGCTGAGTAACGGGTATCTGATAGTCGGGGCACCCGACTATAGCGTTCTCTCTTGTTTTTTGTTTAATATTAGCAAGCTTATTAACTTTAGATTTTATTTGCTTCCAATCCTTTCTTTGTTTACAAAAATTATATGGTTTTGTTTTGTAAAATAGAAATATAATTGTAACCAAGAGTGCTGGACCTTTGAATAAGACTTCAGATTTTCCACGTGCTTGGGACCTTCTCATTGTTGCTTGTCCTGTTTTATTATTCCGACTTGCAACCGGCAAAGGTGAATCATTGTTCCATAAACTCGCACTTTTAGGCTCCTAACCCCCGACCACCTGATGAGTAAGCCAGGGAATTTGCGGCCAATGTTGTTGAACCTTCTCGGGGCCTGTGTCCATTGCACCTGACACGCACTCCTGGATGGAAAGGAATAGATCCAAATGGATGGGTATGGCACGAAAGTTCAGTCGCAAGTTCAAAGTTCGTGTTGGAATTGGATTTGTTTGGGCATTAGTCATATATTTTAAATGCATAGTGAAAGAATACATGTTAGCTTTTCCACAAAAAACAATTAACTGCTTTCATATAAATTTTAGATAAATGCAAAGCCGTATAAAACCTTACGTAATTTTAAAAATTCCTATTATTTGTCTTATAACCAAATTTCCCCCCAAAGCTAATCTTGGTGTCACAGAAACCGTTTGAAAATCAATTACACGATTTTAAACCAACCGAATAGTAGGTCTCAATGCAAATGTTTCTAAAGTCAGAGCAGATTTACTCTGAACCTCCTAAAAAACTTTACAGATTCTGGGACACCTTCGGTTTTAATGGTTTGGTTTCCAAACCAACCGCCCCCAAGTCCGTCGCCGGTTTATGTGATGCTCCGGATTATCTTTTTTAAATGATTGAATTATTTTTTCTAAAATATAAAATATATTTAAAAATTGTACAAATAATCAAGGGCGATTAATTCAGGATTGGATGTTCTTGGAATCTGAAAAATGTATAAATTATGCTTAGGAATATCTCAGTTACTTCGACTTACTAATCGACGGAGCCATTTTGACTTTGGGCGTGCATATATAATCAGTCGGAAGGGTTCCTCCTGCTGGACACCATTCTCCTTAAGAATTTCAACAATGGAAGACACGTACGACTGATAGATTTTGATATCCTGCATTGGAGTATAAAAAGTTCGCAGTTTTGGACATGACCGCAGAACTTGAAGAAACCCATCCCCATCGAATGGAGGTGGTTTGCCTTTCTCATTCATTTTCTCAAGATTTATCCCATTCTGTAGAATAAACCCCAAGAGAAGGCCTTTGACATGGCACTTGGTGTTAATCATATCCAAATCCTTAAGACTCGGGCAATGAGGTAATTCCGTAAAAATTTCGCAGTTATTTATTTTTAAATGCGCCAAGACAGTCCAAACCATCGAATGCTGCTTTTCCGAGGGCATTATTGTTATATTAAGCACTGTCAGGCAGCGGAGATTCGTCAGTGGTGCACAAATCTCAAGAAGATTTAAAGGCATATAGGGGCTGAATCTTTTATAGGATACAATTTCTAGCTCCTCCAAAGCGACCAATTTTTGTATCTGGTAGACTGAATAAAATTTGATTAAATAAATGTAAGAGATAATCATAATGAAGAAATAATAATAAGTTATTTAATAATGTTTGGCTTTATGGGTAGTTCATGTTGCTTATGAAGGCTACATTTTTTGTTATAAGCTTACCTTCTTCTGTAATGTCTCCCCTGAGTATAAGTTTTGTTATATTAATCATTTTCGCCACTGAGTCAAATATCTTTTTTGAATCGTTCGTAAATATAACCAGTTCAACTGATGTCAATGCATTACTCATATTTAATAAGAAGGACTGAACGCTGTCACAATTATCTTCGTAAACATGAATTTTCACCGCCTTCATGTTGGGGCAGTGCAGCACAATTGACTTGGCCAACTGATCACTCCAGTTGGTGCTTTCCACTTTGTTGCTGGAAAACTCCACAATAGTCGAGCCACATTCCTTCACCAAAACCATCCACAATTCGGGGCGGATGCCGGCAAAGGGATACAAACACTTGTAGGCACTGCGGCTGTGATAGGAAAAGGCTTTCCCCAGCTTCTCATGAGCCTGAGCCAGTTGCAGCTTATCAATCAGACTCTCCAGTTCCTTGAATATCAGATCGAGGACGTCGAACGGCAAATCTGTTATACTCCGCTGGCTTTCCATCACAAAGCTTTTCCCTCGAGAGCGGAATGCGAACTGAGAAATGCAGCAAAAGTTTAGCGCAAATTGAAAAGAGAAGTCGAGCGAGAGAAACCGATAAGCATTTGACAACTCTCCCACTTTCAGTTCACTGACATTACATTCACGAATCTACTCATTTTTTCAATTAATTTGAAACTTACATAAATTAATTTTTAATTTAAAAAAATATTTTTTTTTACAATTTTTAAAATGTTCTATACGGACTTGAAGGTTAAAATTTATCAATATACAATTATTTAAGTTTTTAAAATACATTTTCCCAATCATTAAAACTTGTACAGATAAAGCGTATGGATCACTTCGGGATAAGATGTCCGATGTAGCTGGAAAACAGAAATGAGAAAACGAACACGGTATGTAATGTAAATAAGGTTAGTTCCACTCACAAATCGTCGAAACCATCTCAGCTTATCACGGCAGTACAATATCAGTTCGAAGGGTTCTTTTCGCGTCGCAGCATTATCCTTAAGAATATCCACCATGGAGGTGACGAATGCTTGGTAGATTCTAATACCACCCAGGGGAGTGGAGAATAGTTGCAATTTCTGACAGCTTCGGATCACTTGAAGGAAACTGTGCCCATCGAATGGCGCCGGCTCACAGCTCTCATCGATTTCCTCAATATTCCTGCCATTCTTCAATATAAAGCTGCACACGTATCCTTTGATTCTGCATTTGCAGAACTTTATATAGAGGGTCTTGAGCTTCGGACAATCAGGTAATACTGTGGAGATTTCGCAGTTCTGCATCTTAAAATCCTTCAGGCTTGGCCATATCATGGGATGAAACCCGTCTGGTGGAGATATACAAATGTTGCTTACAGTCAAACAACGAAGATTGGTCATCTGTCCACAAATCTGGAGCAGATTAACCGCTCTGCATCTGTATCCTCTTCCTTGATAATCGAGTCTTAGCTCCTCGAGAGCAACTAATTTGTACAGCTGGTTGACTATAAATGGAAAGAATGTTAATTACTTAAAAATAATAAATTAAATAAATAAGATAAGAAAAATTAAAAAAAAATAAAAAATTAAATTGTGTTCCATTAAATCGTATAGCTGTGTAAAATATTTAATAAACTAATAAAAAAATTATTTTCCCAAAAAATATCAAGAAATCAAAATTTATTTAAATAAGAAATAACCTGAATAGGAGCCAAAACAAAAACGACAAACATTTACTTGGAATGCCGAAATCTGATAATCTGAAAAGAAATGTACCGTTTAGTATTTACAGAACTGGAATATCAACAACCGCTTATCACATTACATTTTCTACTATATTCTTTTAACCCATTAACAACCAGTGGTGTTTTCATGCACGATTATTTAATACTTGTACATTGTTTTTAAATATTCATGTATTATTTTTTTAAATTATTTTCTAGACAGAGTTCCTAATTTGTATTTCGTAAGTATTAATTAAAGAATAATTATAAATATGGTAAATGGCTCACCTCCTCTGTCAATGTATCCTTCATATAACAATTTTCTCAGGTTTTTCAGTTCTGCCACTGCATTTAGGATCCTTGGCGATTGGCAACTGTCGTTGAGTTTTAGTTCAACCGAAACTAAAGATTTGGCCATGTTAAGCAGAAAGGTTTGGACGCTATGACTGTTTCTTAATGTAACACTTATGTTCACCGATTCCAGATTGGGACAGTTCTTCGCTATCGATTTGGCCAACAGGTCGCTCCAGGTGTCCGAGCCACAGATGAACTCCACGATTGACGGACCGCATTCCGCCAATAGAACACGATATAGCCGAACCGGAAAATGTATTTTTGGGGAAAATATCTTGTAATCACTGCCGCTGTGGTAGGAAAACGCTTGTCCCAGATATTCATGGACCTGCGCCAGTCGAAGTTTGTCTCTCAGGTTTCGTAAGTTATTATATATTAGATCGAGGACTTCGAGTGGCAAATCGGTTATAGTCCGTTGATTGCTCATCGCAGGTACCCATACCCTCGAGAGCGAAGGGCAAACAAAGAACTGAAGCAAAATCGAATTTTTACCGTCCGCCAAAATAAAAGAGTGTAGAGAGGAAAAGGGAGAACGAATATGGTACCCCTTATTCGTTAAGTTTAGGGGTGTATTTGCTTAGAGGTATGTAATAAAGTGGGTTATGGGGAAGGTTCAAAAAGGATTCCGTTCTTTCTTAAAACTGTTTTACTAAATTAAAAGCATTGTATATAAAGTATAAATATTTTGGTTTGTATTTTTCTTAAATATTCCGAAGATTTATTTTTACTCAGTAGTTACATACAGATCGATCAACTCTGCATTTGTGGTTCGCAGGAGCTGGAAATAAATACAAAATAATATTATACTTTGAGTAATCTTACTATATCGCACTCACTAATCTTCGGAACCACTTCCACTTAATACGCCTAGTTATAACCAGTTCTAAGGGATCCTCCCGCGACACTCCATTGTGCACTAGAATTTCCACTATAGTAGACACATAGTCCAAATAGAGTTTAATGTATTCCATTGGTGTGTAAAAGTATCGCAGTTTTGGACAGCCCCGAAGCAGTTGGTGAAATTCGTCGGCTTTGATTGGCGGTTCGCAACTTTCATACAATTCTTTAAGATTTCCTCCATTTTTGAGAATAAATCTCAGGACATAGCCTTCGATCTGACATGAGAGGCCATCAATATCCAAATATGTGAGCTCTTGACAGTCTGGCAATTCGGTGCACACTTCGCAGCGAATCAATTTCAATGATTTCAAGCCGCCCCACATTACAGAACAGGGTTCATCGAACGGAATTATTTTTATATTGATCGCACTTAATTCTTTGAGATTACTTAGTGGAGCACAAATCTTTAGTAAGTTGACAGAAGGTTTCCGTAAATAATAGTGATTTTCGATCGTCAGCTTCTCCAGAGCGACCAAATTCTGTATCTGGTAAACTAACTAGAAATTGAATGATGAGGTATATTGTATTATAATATTCTATTTGTATATGAAATTGATGAAGAAATAATTTGTATGTGTAATATGTGTATGTGTAATATGTAATATGAGTGAAACTGAAGAGATTTATTTGTCACCCACAATAGTAATCTATGATTTTAGAGATGGGTTTTTAATTTATAATTTTTGTATATCATGCACGTGCCATAAGAACTATCGCATTATTTCAAGGGAAATTATTTGGTGACCTATTAAAAGGACGAGCTCACCATTTTCGTCAATATCTCCTTTAAATGAAAATTCCTTTAACTGGGTCATTTTGCCCACTGCTTTTAAGATTTCTAGTGGAAAACTTTCTTGTTGATCCAATGCAACCGACATAAAAGTGTTTCTCATTTTTATAAAAAAAGCTTGGATGATCTGACAGTCAGACCTATATGGGCCGTTCTTTTACAAACCGAACAGATTTGGCCAAAAAAAAAATTTCACATTTTTGATTTGCCTGAAACTTTTTTTACACGTACTATTCGGAAAATAAGTAAACACGTGTATCAGGATTTGACCGAAAAAAAATTATTTTCCTAGTTAAAATTTTTTTAAGTGTGCCAAAAATTGTCAAATTTGAAAAAGTACCCTCTCATTGAAAATCTGTATCTCCGGTTATATGAATCCAATTAACTTCATGTCTTTTGCATTAATTCCTCTAAAACCTCTCCTTTTAAAATAAAATTTCTTAAAAAAAAAAATTTTTTAATTTCTTATAAAAAATAAAAACAAATTAAGATTTAAAAAAAATTTTTAACCATTGCCCCCACAAAAAAAAATTTTTTTTTTTATTTTAATACTTGCGCCATATTGTTAGTTACAATCGGTTTTTGTAAAAAGTTGGAGCCACTTTTAGTTTTTAAAATATCGAATTTGTTTTAGCAAGGCCTCGGCTTTTTCTATGAAAAAACGTCGCAGCATGTAGATCTACTCTCTCACTCTTATCGGATCCTAATGGAATTTATGTTTCCTCATTGTTTACTAGTCCTTTAACAATTGTTAATGATTAAAAGTTAAGTTTTAAGGTTTTGTGACAATTTCTGAATGACAAAAAGTAAAAAGTCATTTTTTAATCAATTAAAAACTTACAACTATTTATTTAACCGTCTATTTAATAAACAATAATTTTAAATTTATTTTATTTATTATTTTTTTATTTTAAATTTAAACATTTTTAAATATTTATTTTTAAATTTAAAAAAAATTAATTAAATTTTATAATTTTTTATTTTTATTAAATAAATTTTTTTAAAAACTTAAAAAAACATATTTAAAAATGTTTAATAAATTACATAATATAAAAAAAAAAAAAAAAAATAAATTTAAAATTATAGTTTATTAAATAGACGGTTAAATAAATAGTTGTAAGTTTTTAATTGATTAAAAAATGACTTTTTACTTTTTGTCATTCAGAAATTGTCAAAAAACTTAAAACTTAACTTTTAATCTTTAACAATTGTTAAAGGACTAGTAAACAATGAGAAAACATAAATTCCATTAGGATCCGATAAGAGTGAGAGAGTAGATCTACATGCTGCGACGTTTTTTCATAGAAAAAAGCCGAGGCCTTGCTAAAACAAATTCAATATTTTAAAAACTAAAAGTGGCTCCAACTTTTTGCAAAAACCGATTGTAACTAACAATATGGCGCAAGTATTAAAATAAAAAAATTTTTTTTTTTTGTGGGGGCAATAGTTAAAATTTTTTTTTAAATCTTAATTTGTTTTTATTTTTAAGAAATTAAAAATTTTTTTTTTTAAGAAATTTTATTTTGAAAGCAGAGGTTTTAGAGGAATTAATGCAAAAGACATGAAGTCAATTGGATTCATATAACCGGAGATACAGATTTTCAATGAGAGGGTACTTTTTCAAATTTGACAATTTGTGGCACACTTAAAAAAATTCTAACTAGGAAAATAATTTTTTTTCGGTCAAATCCTGATACAAGTGTTTACTTATTTTCTGAATAGTACGTGTAAAAAAAGTTTCAGGCAAATCAAAAATGTGAGCCAATAAAAGGTGTTCGGTTTGTAAAAGAACCGCCCATATACACATGTTGATACCGACTTTAGTTTTGGACAGTTCGTCACAGCGGCCTGGGCTATAAGATCGTTCCAGTATAAGCCTGAACCGCCGCCACTAAATAATAATTCCTCGATCGTAGTGCCAACCTCCTTTATAACGAACACCCACAATTCGGCTGTTAGCCTTCTATCGGGAGCAAGTCTTCTGAATTCATTGCGGCAGTGAAAGGCGAATGCTTTTCCGAGCTTTTCATGCGTTTGGGCAAGGCCCACTTTGTATTGCAAGTAGTTAAGGTTTTTGAATATCAGATCGAGGATTTCAAACGGCAAATCGACCATAGTCGGTGGTCCGTCCATTGCAAGCTTTTTCCCCAAGAGCGAAATGCCAACTGTGGCCAAACTCATCGTGTGCAGAGAGGGATGCATTTGCGAGCTCCAAGAGAGGAACACTAAGAAGCTTTTTGTTGCTCTCCGTTTGCAATGCATTGACCTTACCTACTTTATCGTAATTTAAGCATTAATGCTGTATTTCATCACAGCTCAGGAAGTCGTCATAAGATTATCGAGCCTATTCCCAAGGTTCCTCAGGGCCGAACTATTTGAACTGGTGCAAAAAAAGTTTTAAATCCATTATTGAAATATTCAATGTAACTATACTCGCTTCAATTACTGTTTCATTAATTTAAAAAATTGATTTATTTAATATACCAATTTCAGAGAAAGATTTTTACCTTTGATTTACAAATAAAAGACAAGATAAAGTGAATAGTATTATTCAAGCAATAATGAAGTCGTCTTTAAAAAAGAATATTTAGATGTTTTTGTTTTTGGGGGTCGCCGTATAAGATATTAACAGAATTCAATTAAGTAAGAATTCTTTAAACTATGAAATAGTAAGCCTGAATTCCCTTAAGAGTGTGATGATTGTTATGATGAGATAGGCTAGATATATATACTTACATATTTATAAAAATAATTATAATTTATAGAGTCCGGTTGCAGCCGGTATTTAACCCTTAAGCGCTAAAAAGACTCACCGTTTTCGTCCACATATCCCTTAAATGAGAGTGTCTTTAATTGGGTAATTTCGGACACCGCTGTCAAGAATGTAGATGGAAAATGATCCTGTTGATCTAAGGTCACCGATTTCAGGGAGTTTTTCACCTTCATAAGAAAGGCCGGAACACCCTCCCGACCAGACCTATAGAGAACAATTGACACCGTTTTCAGATTGGGACAGTGAGTCGCAACCGCATCGGCTATAGTGTCGTTCCAGGAGTAACCCAAATCCCCGTAGACAAATTCCTCAATTGAGGGGCCGCATTCCTTTATAAGCATCGCCCACATTTTGGGTTTTAATTGCGAACCGGTCGAGAGTCTCCTGAACTTATTGCGGCAGTGAAAGGCAAAAGCTTTTCCGAGCTTCTCGTGCGCTTGAGATAGGTTCACTTTACATTTTAAATAAAAAAGATTTTTGAATACTAGATCGAGGATTTCGAATGGCAAATCGGTAATAGTCCGTGGATTTTCCATCACAAGCTTTTGCCCCGAGAGCGAAATGCAAACTGAGAACTGTGTTAAAACTCAGTGTGTGCTGAGCACAATGCAGTTGGACACTCTGAGAGAGAAAAGTCGGGAAAATTTTGATTGCTCTTTACTGGCAATTTATTGGCCTTATCTTAAAAAACTGTTAGAGCAAGGATTCCATAAATCATAAATTTTTTAGTTTTCTGTTTTAAAAAATTTTTAAAAATTTTTGCAAAATTATATATATATACCTATAGATCTTAAGATGATATTAATGAGAAAAAGAGTCTTTGTAGATTTCATCATTTCATCTAGCACATTCAACGTAAACCTTCATGCATCCTCCGCTTTCCTTCGCTGCACTTTTCCACAGAGAGTGCATTGCAAAATGACGCAAAAAGCTTTTTTTCTGTCCAAAGCTGAGGCGTTCGAACAGAAAGAGAGTGAAGAAATAAGAGTTTTTCACAATTTCAGTTCAGTGCCCCATTATTTTGTTCTAAAAACGAATTTCGGAATTGAGTCAGAATACGAATCTTAAGTTATTAGGTTCTTAAGTGAAATGTTTTATTATATTTCCGGATGTCAGTCGAAAGTTTGAGTTTGTGTCTAGTTAACTTTCGCTGAACATCGTTCCACTTATACCTTTATGTAAGTAGCTTAATTCACCTGATTTAATTACATTGCAAGGATTGTAGTACCGCGTAACTGTTAACTATTTCCGTGTTTTTAAAATATCAGACCGATAACTTCAAAAGTCAAGTCTGATATAGTATGTGGGATTTCACTGCAGAGCTTTTCGCGTAATGCAAGCTCAGAGAATCAGTATTGAGAAGTAACAAAGTAGTTCTTAAGAGATCCAAAGAGTGTAAGTATGTATGTATAAACATAAATGATCCCACATGCGCAATGAGCTGATGAGATAAACTTTTATACATTGTTGCACATGTCCCCATTTTATCATTTACCTCAATTAAAGTTTTGGGAATATTTGTATTTTGAGTTTTTATAAAAAAAATGACATTGTGTTTTAGTAAAACCTCTATTAATCTCAAAACTATATTTTTCCAAACTATTTGTTTATAACCTCAGATTAAAGTTCTACTGGCACATATAGATATCGACGTTCCCACTCCTACACGTATCTTAAGCCATAACCAATTGCGGTTTGGCCTCGAAGCTGACTGCGTTTAATGGCCACTTACTTGGCCAAAACGTTAAGCAAACTCTGCAATACGATATAGATTACAGTAATTGTGCCGCCATAATGCACCAACCCCTTGTGACAACCCCAACCCCTGACATTTAACTGTCGCTTATACCAAACGATGTCTGGGCCCAGACTGTTGGCCTCCTTCTCCAACCAAAACTTTCGCTAATTTGTAACGTTACTGCAGTAAACAAAAAACTGCAGCGGGTTAAGGGTGGAGACAAGGGTTAAGGTACACAGAAAAATATATGATTCCTGATACAGAATTCTAATTCGTATTGTTATTTGTTCAACTATTCTTTTTAACGTATAGCCTTATTTGAAATAAAATAAATTATTAAAATATAAAAATGTATCTGAAAAGCTTCCATATAAATATATGATAAATGTACAATAGCTAACGACTTTTACAAAAGTTGTTCTCAGTGCAGGGCCATGGCGGACACTTTTGATGCCAGTTGCGTGATAAGAGGAACCAGATGAGCCGGTGACGCAATGCAGAGCTGCACGGAGGTCAATAAACCAAGCTTAATGCTGCAGGAACGGCGCAAATTTCACGAAAAAAGGGTTGTTAGCTTTTGCGGGGGATAGCACTTCAGTTTTTAAATACAAAAGCATAAAAAACAGGGGGTGAATTTGTATACAAATTTCAAATTTCTTCCAAGCTGAAAGATATATATGAATAGGTTTCTGGGTTATCACTTTGCAAAAAATCACCTTCAAATACCGCCACTTGGATGTGTTCATAGGGAAAGTAGCTGACGATCACATAAATAATAAATCAAAAATATAGAACTGAAGAAACAATTTTCTCAGTAACTTAAGTTGTTTTAAATATTTTTACATAATAGAGCTGAAATATTGCAATTAAAAGTAATAAAGATTTAACAGAAATACCTAAAAATGCAGTGTTAATGGATGTTTGCTTGAAGAAAAACAGATAATGGGAAATTCACCAAAAACGCTTGGGGAAAAGTTTGTAAAAAAAATTGTTTTGAAATCAAGGGAGTAGCTTTTACCGGAAGAAGTTTGCAGATTTCCCATACCAACATAATAGCTATATTTAACAAAAAGAAACACCTGCTCCCAGTTCCTTTTTTATTTGTCCAGTTTGGCAAATGCAAGTCTTGCCGACTGGTTTCGCTACAGGATAATTGTTCATTCGAGGGCCAAGGGATGCGAACCACCCAACTTTAGCTCAGACCAATTGCAATGAGCAAAAAGGGGTTGTTACATGCATATTGCAACTGGCAACTGTGACTCACCTCACCTAGTTTCCACTGTGGAAATGGAGTGGAAGAGCGGGAAGTTGCACAATAGGCTGGCTGAAGTGTCTTTTGCTACTTGCAACTTTCTCCATTTCTCCGGTATTAGCGCACACTCTCTCCCTCCAGAACTTTCCCTGTGAGGAAGTCGGGCTGAAGAAAACCCGCCCAGCCGGTTCTTGGGTAATCTGTCTAAGCAAATATTGCGAGCCCAGGTGAATGCAACTAGTTTTTCCAGCACTGGGGAAAAATCGCAATGGCAATGACCCAACAGAGTTAGCCTTGAATCTGCTGCAAGTGGAAAACCAGTTGGTGGCATCAGAAGAATAACAAGAAGATTTCCACCAGCTAAGGAAGAAAATGGCAAGTATGTTGGCCTCTGATTTTTCGTATCCCTAAACGTGATCAAAAGCTAAAATTGAGAGAGTTAAAATTATAATTTTGATATAATGCATTATAATAAAGGAAATCAGTATTACTATATTCGTATTCTTCTTCGTATTATATTGGTTAAAGTCTTCTCTGCAATAGATAAGTAAACATCTTTCGACTATAATAACCATGCCCTTGGTCAAGTCCTAAGCGATTGATGCCAGACGAGTTTCGAAATACCTATTAAACTATGCAATATCTGGTTAACATCTTTATGGGGCCCTTGTCTCGGCGCAATGACGCCAAATGAGCTGTCGGCACCGAACAACCACCCACTGACAGAGCTCCCTCGCATTGATAAGACAACTTTTACTTTAGTGAGCGCTGAGCAGCAGAATTTTCTAGTTTTCACTTGTCACACAGACGAGGTGGGAGTCTGAGTGGGGGTCCTATTTTTACTATTTTTCTTTTTCTGGGTGCGGCACTTTCTAATACCCCAGCATTGGTGGAACGAACAGTTCAAATGAGTCAACGGGCGAAAAGGAGCGGGGAGGAGCGAGAAGAAGAAGGAGCCGAGTGCAGCAGGAGCTGGGAACCGAGACTCCTGGGAAAACCTAGTGGTATGGGTAGGTCAACCACCAGACGTTGAACCCAGCACTCACACACACTTGCGCACGCCCACTTCCGTTGAGAGCCAAGAGAGAATCGGAAAGAGAGGGGATTGGAGGATTGGGGATCGCAGGGGTTGGGAGAAAAACACACGAGAAAAGTGTGCAGCACGTGAATGGAGCAGCATGCACAGCTGAAGAGAGAGAGAGACGGAGAGGAAATAAGCAGGGCAATGTCTGCCTTGGTGGGCGAAAGAGAACGCAAGAACGAGAGCTTTGAAGAACGATTTTCAGAATACCCTATATCGTTCAAATCGTGCCCATTTCCGATGTAATCAGAAATTTTAAAATTCAATTTATCAGCGACAATTTAATTGAGTAAACTAAACTTAAAGTACCCGCAAAGCACCTACAAATGCCAGTAGTTTATATAGATATTTTTTTTATTTTTAGGTTTAGTACACACAAAACACATTTTGAATACATATGTTCTTTTGCATACACAAAATACACTGTTGAGCATTTTAAATTTAAAGTAGGGTTATTCCTACTGAAGAGAATTAAGAGTTTAAAATCTACTTTAAATTTAACATGCAAATGAGAAAACGGCAGTTAGAGCTCTATTACCTGATATTTGACAACTCAAACCAAATATATACATCATAGTTCACTATCTCTAAAAAGTACAATTGTACCTCCGGAAAATTTTAACAGTCAATTACGGCAATGTGTCAATGCGACGACCCCGATTTTTGCTGCACAATGTTCTTCGCTATATGGAGCATAGTCATTGGTGCAATTTCCTTGGCAAGCGCACTGCTGAATTTAATAGATACGTGGAGCTATTGGCCAGATTTCGGAAAAGATGCCTTTGAATCGATTAGCGCTGTATTATTGCTAGTTTTGTTGATTGTCAGCATTTTGTATTTTTGTTCTGGGATTTGCATGCTGATGGGAATTAAACGGGTAAGGCGGACTCTCAAATAAAATTTTAAATACCTAGAATATATTTTTTATATGTCAATTTAGCGCTCAAGAAAGCTGTTCGTCTGTGGAAAAGGTCTAAGCTATTTTTTTCCAATTATAACCTTCTATATGGTATTTACAATAGGTAAGAAAAACATTGCAAAAAAACAGTAAATTAAATGCATACTAATTCTTTAATTATTCTTATATTTCTGTTCTTCTGATTTAGTTGTCCACTTCTCGTGCTTGCCGAAAGTATGCAGGTATATGAAGAGAACTTGGTCGTAAATTAGTTCCTTGCAAAATACTTGGAGTACGGCATTACCAGGACGGTTCTCTGATGTATTTCAATATGTGAACGTCAATACAAATCTGTTGTGTATTTAAAATCGAAAGCAGAGGGTCTACTACTACTACCTTTGCCATCAAGTGGAAAATTTTCTTTGACTTTAGAAAAATTGAAGCAAAAGTTTTGGGGCGGTTCGCCGTTGGACCTTAGAAAAGGTCAAAACATGCGCGGATCCACGGGGGGTGATATGGGTGATATATCACCCCCACTCGGGTGAAAGAGGAAAGAAATTTTGGCATTCAAAAAGTATGCAACAAAAAAAAATTTTTGATATCACCCCTAACAACAAAATACTAAATGTTGGGCAGACGGACATGGCTAGATGGACTCGGCTATTGATGCTGATCAAGAATATATGTATATACTTTTGACTGAAATTATAATACCCTCTGCAAGGGTATAATTAATGTTTTGGCATTGTGTAAGTTGTGTAACTTAATGGGGGATAGTTATTGGTGGCTTGGGCATTAGCTCTGCAACCTATAGAATATTTAACTCACTTGAAAGAAAAAGGCATTTCTTGAATAGCATTGTGGGTACTATCATTTATGTGATTTTTTCGCTGGGATTGCCTTGTTAATAGCTTTACCTTAAATATGATTTAATACTTTATTTGATTTTAGTATAGTATGCTTATAATATTTAACAAATCATTATTACATTTACATGGTGAAAAACCTCACAGATCAGTCAGTATTACCGCACTCCATTGAGGGTTACATATAATCTTCGTATCGCTCTTTTAGAGTTTCAAATTCGAAATGCCTTGCAGTAACTTCACCCCCAAGTTTCCTTAATAAGTTTGCATAATTTCTGGACGCACACCAAATGCACTACTAAATAAAGAAAACGGTATTATAAGAATAATTAAACGATGTGAATCAAGTTACAGGTCAAGAAGATATTAGCTCCTTAAAGAAATATAAACATACATATAAGAAATACTTTCATGTATTTTTTTCCCGGAGTTTATATTTAGAACTAATATTCAACCCAACAAAAAGTCGTCCAAAACAAAAAACTTCATATGAAATAAAAAAACATCAAGAAATGTCCAAAACAAAAGCCTTTATAAGAAAAAAAGTCAAGAAATGTTTTTTCATATGATTTTTAGGCTTAGAACGACTTTTTGGGTAGGTTGAATACTATGTTATTATTTTATCGGCAGTTTATGCCGGTTTTTATATCTAATAAATTAAAAATTATAATAATGCAGTTACTTACTTAGTGGAAAAATTAAATACATATTAAACAATGGGAAAACATATGATACAACTTTTCCAAATTTAAATAGCTTCTTCGAAACCTATATAAAATTCAAAGAAAATAATTCTTTGTATTTAAACGTATTATTGTTTGATGTTACCGTAGTTAATGCTATTAACAAGGCAGTCCCAGCGAAAAAATACGTAATGGAGACAATCAAATAAATAATAGTGTACACAATATTATTCACGAAATGCCTTTTCCTTTCAAATGCGTTACATATCCCATAAGTTGCATGAATAATGCACAAGCAACCAATAACTATGCACCATATTGCATAGAACTTCACGTAACAGTAAGATGGAATTTTGTTACACGACTTACACATTTTCCAAATTTTTAATATTTCGCTGTTAATAGTTTTTAGAGTTACATGTGATTGAATACTTCAGTACACTACGATTATACGATTTTTAGGACACTTGCCATTACCAAATTAACCTTTTTTTTCTAGGGTAAATTAAAAAAGTAATAATCCGGGATGACTCTCTGAGTTTGAGTGCCGTTTTCCAAGGATTTTGTGGCTTTGTTCACTACAGCAAGCAACTAATTTACGGCCAAGTTTTCTTCATATACCGGCATAATTTCGGCAAGGACGAGAAATGGACAACTAAATCAGAAGAACATGTGTAAGTATAAGAATAATTAAAGAATTAGTAAATATTATAGTTACAGATATTTTGCGATGTTTTTCTTACCTATTGTAAATATGAACAAGAAGGTATATATTGGGAAAAAATGGCTTAGAACTTTTCCACAAACGAACACCTTTCTTATTCTCTATATTGCCATTTAAAAAATGTCTTAATTAGTATTTTAAATTCATATTTCTGTTTGTAAGTCCGCCTTACGTATACAATGCCCAGCAGCATGCAAATCCCAGCAAAAAGATACAATATACAGACAATTAAATAAAAAAGGCTTAGTAAGCAGATGATCAACGCAATCGAACTTTCTGCGAACATAGGCCAGATGGACCAGGACAATATGACATAATATATTGCACTTAACAAGAAAATGGCACCAATGAATGTGCTCCATATAGCGTAAAACATGGTGCAGCACCAATCCTTATCCTGGACCTGGGTTTCACACATTGTCTTAACTGATAAAAAGTAAGTATAAATTTCCGAATGGTATAGTTACGATTTTTAGAGATAGTGAACTATGATGTAGAAATTTTGTTAAAGATTTAAAATATCAGGTAGAGGTGCTATAAACAATCTTTGTTTTAGCATTACGTTTTTGAATTAATTAGTTGTCAAGCAACTAATATAAAATGCATTAAATATTTGTCTATCCATATATCCAACTAATAGAATACTACCTTAATTGTACAATGTTTTTGCATCTTGCCAACAACCTGCACCCAAAAAAAACTCGATATGAATCGTAGGTCAATTTGACCTTTTTTAAGATCATTTTTAACTTGATATGGGGCCAGGTAAATGTGATATGTTCGAAATGTAAAAAATCTTATTTCTGACCAAAACGTACACTAGTGCGAGCGAGAAAACATGCTTGAAGTACGTCAGTTCGAATTTCGAATCAGTCTTTCTCCCTTCCACTCATGTCATTTTGCTCGCCATATTGATTCTTGCGCTCTTTTTCGAAGTTAGAGAATCTCCGAGAGAGAGAATTCGGCAAAATGATATTATTTAATGTAAATTTATGAATATTTCAGGTAAAAACGATATGAGTAGGAATAACCAGAAAATTACCTGGACTTATCGATTTTACGGCGACGTGCTTTTTTTTGTGTGTGTCTGTTCGTTAACTAATTATATTTAAGAATTTATTTGCAATTTAAGCTTTTGTTGGTTGGAAAACTTCCCTGAAGAAAGAGTATTCGAAGAACTGGGGGAACTCAATAACATCGTCCGTTGCCTAGCGTCGTCTCATCGTCGCATTTCGCAATTCGCATTGTGCGCTAGTTTAGTGGGTTGAGTGACACAGACACAGTTTGCGGCTAGAGCAAGAGGGTGAAGGTGCGGGAGCGGGAGAGGGAATGGAAAAGGAGAGACGGTAACGAACAAGTTTTCAGTGGCGGAGTTGGAGGCTCTGTTGCGATTTTGTAATCGCAAGCCAAGTGTCGTTACAGGGTTGCCATATGATTTAAATCCTACACTCATGGAAAATGTACGGTAAAATCGCCCCAAAATTAAGGAAATTTGATTGTTATAAAAAATTAAAGCAACTAACTTCTTTGAGAAAATGTTATTGGAAATTAAATAAATAAGTTAAGTAACAAAAATTGCAAAAAAAAATATTGAGCTTAATAAGTATGCAATGGCAAGTGTGTAGGAAATAAAAATAAGCTTAATCTGCGGTATCCAATGAAATTTAGATACACAACTATAATATCTAAAGACATTTTAGAATTTCTTAGACGATGTCGTTTAAAAGTATACACTTATACACGACTATCAGATACCCGTTACTCAGCTAAGGGAAGTGCGAGGGAGACGGACATATGCATGCGGGAAAGCGTCACACATTAAGTATACGTAATACTTTGAAGAATTATCTCAAAATATTGCTGCAATAAATTCAGAAAAGAAATCTCTTCAAGCCAAAGACGGTTGGTTTAGTGCATTGATGTACGTGATATCCAAGATTTTGGTTGAAAACTATTTCAGTATATTCTCTCAAATATAAAAATGAATTCCCTTTCAAAAAAAGAAACACTACTTTTGATTTCTTTGAATTTTGTACTATCTGGCAACTTCTTTACCCATTTAACCCATGCCTTGTGAAAAGCTTGGGAAAGGGTAAGGCTGGCGAAAGCGTGCACGTAGAAAACAAAAATGCCAAGCGAAAAAGAAAAACTCCCCAAACGAGCACTGCAGTTCTCCAGATCCCTCTCTCTCTCGCTCTCTCTCCCTCTCCCGTTGCCGTCTCTTTTCATCGCCGTCTCCATTTCCATCGCCATCCGCCCATTCCAGAACAGAGCTCCCAACTCCCCGTTCAAGTTGTAGTATGTTTTCGGGATGTGGAGTATACCACTAGGATGGATGGATAGCTCACACAGATACGGGGCTTTTCCTGCCTCTGTGTGAGTACCTCTGCGAGTGTGCGTGTGAGACGAAGCGAATCGAGTCGAGAGTAGAGTAGGACAAAAGGGAGACACAATTTTGGTAGCAATGACCTTCACCGCGTTGTTCAAGTTGTCGTGCTTGTTGTTGCTGCTGCAGCTCAAACACACACACACACACCCACTGAAACGTATATATGTATGGACACACCGACAGGAAAAGCAAATGCAGATAAAGAGAGCGATAGAGAGCGAGGAAGGCACAATGAATGATGCATGAGTGCAGATGGTTGTGGATTGTTTTGCTGTGCGAAAAAGGGGGAGGTGGTTAGCTCGCTATTTTAGCCGCTAGGTGGCTCATTCGCCCTTCCCCCTCTTCAGAGCACGTTAAAAAAAAGTATTTATTTTTTTATTTATTTTTTAGATTTTTACATTACGTAAAGCTTGCAAATTAATTACTAATCTTAAGCCATACTCAAAATGATTTTACAAACATTTATAAATAAATTTAAAAACAATTTATTCCGATATTAATATACAATTTATACTTCTTATTTGAAATACATATACATATATCTATAATTCAATTTATTTAAACTATTTGGTTTTTAAAAAAGGGATCACTCTATTTTATTACTTTCTAATTTTCAAGATATAAAATTGTGCAACTTACTTCTAAAATTTCTTGTTTCAAAATGTAATTGATAAGTCGATGATGAAGGGAATCTAAATGCTACTTAGTCTCTAATTTTTTACAGTAAAAAAAAATTATATAAAATTGAATTAATTAATTTTATTAATAATAAGACGAATAGTCCCAAAGCAAACATATTTTTTCTGTGCACTTTCTACCCACCCAACTCGAATTGGCCGCTTTTCCCGCTCGCTTTTCACTGCACAAATTAAACGTACAAAAGATAAAAGTGCTTTGTGCTGCCATTGGAAATGGAGTTCTGTGGAAAACGACGATCTGGGGGGAGTGGTGGGTCTTTTGGGGGCTGGGGGCGGAAGGTGGTGAACCTAGCGTAAACTTGACACTGACGTTATATGCACTCCACCCGCCCGCTCCACTTTGCCACTCTTTTGGCCCCAGGGTGCGGACCGTCGTTTTTGTTTTCCTTCTCTTCTTTCATTCGAGTCTTGCCTCTATTATTCTTTTTTCTGCATTTTATTATTTTTTATTTTTTTTTGTGAAAATTGCTCAAGTGCGACGCAGACATGGTGGGAGGCTCAGGGGAGGGGATTGGCATGGAGTTTGTGGGCTGGTTGGGTGTTTAACTTTTGGTATCATTGACCTGGAGTTCTGGGGAGTCACAAGCAGACAAAAAGAACCTTTCCCACTTTTCTTTGTGGGTGAAAAAATGGGGAAAGGGGGTGGAGTTGGAGTTCGAGTCGAACGGTTAGTCATTGTCGACGCCATTTTGGAAAATTTGTCGCAAGTGCATACAAATGCATAAACATACAGGCACATGGCCAAAAGGGATGTACATATATCTTTATGTAAACATACATATTTGCCGTTGAGCTTTATATTTCCCCCACTTTACAATAGGTTAGTCTGTTATTGTTCTGTCTGTGAGGATTAAAATTGGTCCGTGTGTGCTCTTCGTATATATTTCCACATATATATAAAAGTACGACGAGTATGTATGGCAAAAAGTTTTCGCTTTTCGTTGATTTTCATTTTAATTGTGGTGTCCCTTTTTATTTTAATTTACTTTTTTTTAGTTTACTCATCAGTTAGTTAAACTGTCACATGGTGTAGTTGGGGGGAAAGTGCTGAAGAGAAAAACTGGTGGGATGGAAATACCCGAAGTCAAATTAGGGACAATGTGGATAGGATATTTAAGGGGCTTGTTGGATAGCATAAAATGATTCATTAATATGTCTCATCATATTATGAATTTAAGATATAAATAAAAACTATATAAACTAAGATAGTTAGCTGAAACTATATTCTACGAAGGACCTTTCCAAAGTTTCAATTTTGTTTCAATATTCTGTATTTTAGCTTTTGTATTTTTTCCGAATTAAAGAAGAAACTCTAAGCAAAAGTATTCTGAAAAAATTAAGCGATTTAAGATTCCCCATGAAGATTTCCACACTGCCTTCGCCGCGTTGAGTCCATTTAGTTCTTCAAATAGCAATTGGAAAATTCCCAGTTCATCTGCAATTCACTCATTTGCAATTCAAACTTGTTTCCACAGTTACTGCTATCCGAGTGCAAATCTCAGCTGTCCATTATCGTTGGGCATCTGTCCCCCATTCCACCCCACCGGTACCTTGGCCAGCAGATATCAGATGAGTGCCCAGATGGGGTGCCAGCAAATGGAGCACTCAATGGACTAGGCCAATTAAAAATCCAGTTCAAGCTCAGCCAGTGCAGCGTCATCATCATGGACATCATGGGCCTGGGCCTTCCGATGGTCGGGTCTGCAAACAGAAAGGCCACGGGTGCGTCTTAGTCACACAATAGAAGCCTGCCAGTGCATAAAGCAAATCACAAATGGTTTTCAGTGCAGGTCTACAGTAAAAGCGTTACAGGGGTGTATTCAAAAAGGTTAAATAATTTTAAAGAACAAATTAATGAACTATATTTTACTGGAAGGCATTTAACTTAATGATTAGTTTTGGCTATAAATAAATTTATGCGTTTTTAGAAACTTTTAACTGTTAACTAAAAATGGTATTTTATTTTTTTAAATTAGTTTTTGTTTTACAAATATTATCCTAACTACAAAAATAAACTATATTTTACTTTTATGGTATAAACAATTATTTTAATTTATGTACGATTATTTTTTATATAGAATATACATAAGTTAAATATTCAAATTACGAAGTTTTATAATTTATTTTCTCTAGCGAATGCTACTTTCTAATCTCCCTGTACCTGTGCACCCAGAGCCAGCTACCTCCCCTCTTTAGCTCCCTCAACCCGAGGTTGATGAATGCCAGACCAGTTCGGATCAGGGGGAGGCATGTAGGGAGAGTCGGAGAGGGGCTTTCAAGGTGGCGGTGCAGGAAGCCGCTGCAAGAAGCACCGAGAATGCCATGGCCAATGCCATCGTGGCGCAGTGTCAGTGTCAATGCCAGCA